CACTGTAAGCGGGAAGGTAGAGCGCCCGGGGCGCCTCGCAAGGGAGGAAGGAGCTGTCAGCTTACCTCGTGAGTGATGGTCACGTTGGGGAAATAGGAAGCTCTGGCCGCTTATCTCTCGGGCCCTTTTAAATACTTGTTGGAAAGCTGCAGAAAGTAATAATCGCAGTGACAGGTTGTGCCGGGGGTATGCGTGATTCTTGGCAGAAGCGAGCAGCTATGGGCTGCAAGCAGATAAAAATCGAGGCAAGCATGCAGTGACTCCTTCCTTGCTGTGGCATCCTGGTTCCTAGAACCTTGAAGTGTGGGGGCTTCTAGGCCCCAGAGTCTCAAGTGAAACTTAAACTTATTTTCATGTCTAGGTAAGTGACAAGTGAAGTTCGCACAACCAGATCGCTTATTTGTAAGGATGTTGCCCAGAGAAGCTGTGGCTGCCCCATCCCTGGCAGTGTTCAAGGCCAGGTTGGACGGGGCTTGGAGCAACCTGCTCTAGTGGAAGGTGTCCCTGCCTGGGGCAGGGGGTTGGAACTAGATGATCTTTAAGGTCCCTTCCAACCCAAACCGTTCTGTGATTCTACATTAGCGCGTTGGGGATCTGTGCTTAAAATAGTCTTTGCTCCTTTGGGTGAGTCTTAGAAGTTTGCTGCTGCTGTAATAGCAGCTACACCAGACTATGCTTTTAAGACATGAATGAGGAAGTTCAAGACCAATTAAGTTTATGATCCATTGTCTTACTGCTGTTGGAAGTGCCTATTTCACACCCTCTGATCTCTCAGCTTTTGTACTACATGGAACTCTGGTCCATGATTCTTCAGGAGAAGAGTCAGTTTAAACTGTATGCTTTTCATAAATACCTTGCACTGACTTTATCAATTTCCTGTCATGAATCAGTAGAGCAAGTAATAAGCCAAATGGGTAATGAAGGTGCAGTTGCTATAAATGTCATTTCCCTTCTTTAAGTGTATTGTTCCATTCAGACCAGCCAAATCTTGCACCTAACACATCGTTGTGGATTTTTTCACTCTTGTTTCTGTGCCGCTTCTGTTGTAGTAGTAAAACATTCTGTGGACATTCTTTTATAGGGTCATAGAAACTGAAGCGACCTCAGGAGGTTACATAGTCCCGCCTCATGACTGAAGCACAAGTGTTATCAACACTAGATCAGCTCAGCTCTACCTCACCTCCCTGGGTGACCTGTTACAGTACTGCAGTGCCCTCCTAAAGGACTTTTTTCCTTCAAATACAGGCTAGGGCTTTCAAGCTGCAGTCTGTAGTTTTCACAACATCCCTGAAAAACATAGCTGTGTTTGAATTATTCCTGTTCTAAACTAGGATTGTGGAAGAAAGTTGTTTTTTTTTTTTGTGTTTTGGGATTATTTTTTTTTGAGTCAGGTAAACTAGGTTGTAGCTGTCTTTTGTAACCAGCCACAGACATTTATGGGGTGATCTTTCCTTGTATAATGTCTACAAAATGCTTGTTGTCTCATCCTGGGGATTTATAATGTTTTAACTGTGACGTGAGGTACTTAGGTAATGGAAATCTTCTACCAGTGGCCAGCTGAACATTTTAGGATAACATCAACAAGTATATTATTGCAAAAATTTCTTGCTGAAATTGGCTACCTCTATTACTCTACCTCATGCCAGCCACTTTACATACTAACTGAGGCATATGGAGAAGTCTGAATCACTCACCAGATCTAATTCTCTCCACATAGTCTGCAATTGAATGTAGTCTGGTCCCTGGTGAGGAGAAACAATACGTGATAAGTTCTATCTACTATCTATCATAATATTTACCTAAGTGGGTAAAACTGAGCTTCCCTGGAGAATCTTAATCTTTTACATGTTCTTGCAGAGATCTTACAACTGTCACTGTTGATTATGATGTTGGTAATAATATTGAATTCTCCTCTGCATCGGGGATTTAGATGCACAGAGCAGATCTCTAAATGGTAACTGTTTGTCTGTTATAACCTCTGTGGATCTCCTGTCTTCTGTTAGTGAGATCTGATGGGATGTTGGTGGTGGGGCACATAGCTAGCAGCACAAGAACGATGAGACTCATGAATTGCCTCCTTCCTCCAAGTGGTCTGCTAATCTGATTGGGCAAACTCAATTTGGCTGTTTTTCCCATTTCTGGTTGGAATATCATCAGAAATTGAATGTGATCTGTGCAAACTTGCATAGTAACCCAAACATTAAGAATCCTTACTCAGTTTAAAAGCACATTGATGGCTCCAAAGAGAACTTGCTGCTGTATGGGAAATTGTTTATCAGAGATGCTGATCTGCAGTAATGCATATACTTCTTATGGAAAGTTGGGGCATTCAGGTAAATCTCCTCCAGTGAAAAACAGCTAATCTAATAGGCTGTGGTTCTGTGACCAGCTGAGGCAGTCACTCCTTGCTGCTAGAAGCAAGAGATTTCATGCCTGTCTTCCTCTGGGCAGTGTGTCCTTGTCCTCTGCATTGTCCCAGCTGCGTTACCTGTTAATCCTTTTTGGAGCTTATTAACATGACAAGAAACTACGCAATGTTTTGCCAGGCTAGTTTTTTGCCGTGCTGGTGAATTGAAGTGACTTAAAGAACTACAGCAGGTGTGCACTACCCAGAGGTAAGCAGCAGCTCTGCATTTCTTAGGGCAGAGGAAAGACGAGCAGTAAGGTGTGTCCTTGCTTGGTGAGTCAACCTAGCAGCTCACAGCTGCCTGCCTCTCATGGAACTGCATCCTGAATTGCCCACGGACAACTATAGTGCATCAGTAAAATATACTGAAGTATCTGAGCCATACATGCATATGAACAATTCATTTTATTTTCTTTCTTTTTCCCTCCAGAATTTCTTGGTTTGGCTAAGCTTGAGTCAGTTTTTATGGGGAGTAAAAGCTCTCCTGTTGGTGAGAAAAGAGATGGCTTGCTTTTGAAAGGGGAAGGTCTTGTTCCTGAAAGCACTCGCCTTCCTTTTGCTGTCTCCAGCTCTTGTCTGAATGCACAGTAAGACAGTTCAGCTTGCTGAGTTGCTAAGACTGCTCTTTAATTTTTATTTTTTTTTTTTTTTGTTAACTCTTCTGCTATTTCAGCCAGTTGAATTGGTTTACTATGCAAGCGGGTAACTGCCAAAACCAGTGTAAGGTAGGCAGTTGAAATGCATTGGGACTGCGAGGCTAGAATCAGGGAAGGGGTTTTGAGACTAAGAGGAAGAGTGAGAGACCTCTTCCTTTCTGTAGCAGCAGGCCACCTCATTTGTAATTAACATGTATAGACCAAACTAGTCTGAAACCACAGCAGACTGAACTCAGGAGTTTTTAGTTACTGAGCAACTTTTATAAGAAGGTAAATGTGAATATCCTTGCCTTCTCTTTGGAAAGAGCTGCTATTCAAACTAAGAACAATGTATCTGTCTGAATACATTGTTTGTATCCTCATAGTTCAGTATTCAGTTGTTATAAAGGTAAAATTGTTGAGGAGTTTAATTATAGGGAGAAGAACTGATCTCATCTGTACTTTTATTCATGTTCTTTTAAGACTTTTATTACAGAAAAGTTGTGGTGATGATTAATATGGCTCTAACTTGGTACATTAAACCTCTGGCAACTGCGGTAACTGTATTATTCTTGTGCATGATTTCTTGCTATCTTGTAGTTTGAATATTATGTTAGCATTAAAGTAGTTTGGGTTTTTTATTTTGTTTTGTTTGGGGTTTTTTTTCCATATTGTCACTGTTTCTGTGATGGTTAAATAGTGTTTTACTTACGTTCTCAGCTTACAGAACAGAATACAGTTCATTGCACATAATTCTACGTTTCAAGATGTATAATTGCACAAATCTTATTTTTAGCTTTTCTTTACCTTATTCAAACAAACCTATTTTTATATATATCTGTCAGAATTGAAGTGCTTTAATATAACTGCTGGTTATCTCTATTCTTTCAGTCTGGAATAGAGCTGTTCGTGAACAGGCTTGACTCTGTAGAGTCTGTCCTTCCCTACGAATATACAGCGTAAGTATATTAAAGTGTGTCATTTTAATTGTCAGTTCTTCCAAAAATATGAATTTGATTTATCTTAAAGTATTATCTACATTTGCTACAGAAGTTTGCTAGTGTCTATTTATAGGAATGTCTATTTATTTTGCTAACATAAGTTTACAAATACATAATTTTCAATTGAGCAGATGGATGCAGACATACATTGCTTCCTTCTCCTTAGTTGTCTTCGTTCATACATTAGAAGTAGCACATGGATTCATAGGCCCTCATGTAGGTCCGATCATTGCTTTGGCATAACGTAAGGTTAAAATGTGTGTATGTATATATACATATATATACACATATATATAATATTTACTCTTCTGCATTAGTTGTCATTTTATAGATCAAAGTACTACTGCTGTCCTCAGTAGCCTGTAGCCAGATGAGTGAAAGAGGTAATGAGGTGTGAACTTCCCATCAATCATCTTAATGAGGTGTTAATTTTTTTCTTGGTATACATTGTAGGAGTGTACAAAATGCATCAGTGCCAGGTACAACTATGGAATGTTGTTACTTCAAAGAATGTTTTGATTGTTACAGTTGAAGAGATTAAGCACTAGTTATGTCAACACTTTATTGAACACAACTGTGATATACTTGAAATTAGGCTGGGAAACTTGGAGGATGTGCTATTAAATGTGTTGGGGAATAAAACTGCAATATCCTATTTATTCAATAGCATTTGTTGTAAAGGAGCTGTCTGTATGTATGTGTGTGTATATATGTACATATTTTGCTTTTATTATTACCCTCCCTCCTTTTCGCCCCGCCCAAGAATCTGGCCTGTATGCTTTTCTCTCAGAGCTGCAGTGAAACTCTGTGAAGGTTTAATTCATGGCTAAAATCCCCATTAAAATAGAAAACTTCTAATTACTTAAGGGCACTTTTACACTACTATGTTTAATATAACCTGAGTTCTGAAGTAGCTGATTAAGAGATTTGATAGTTGGTTTTGTTTCTTCTTTTGTTGCTGGTTGGTTGGTTATTGTTTTCAAAATAGGACTGTGATTTTTCACACATTGCCTTGGAGGTTCAAGGAAAAAACTTGTCTAGAAGTAAAGCTGTATAGCTCCTTCGCTTATGATCAGGTGTTGATTTGGATGCACTATTTGAGGTCTCATATTTGCTGGTGTGAGAATATTTTGTTAACTTTTGTATCTTTTCTCTAATGCAGGTTTGACTTTTGTCAAGCTGAAGGAAAGAAGCGTCCCTCTGAAAACCTTGGCCAAGTATTGTTTGGAGAGAGGATAGAACCATCTCCTTACAGGGTGTGTTCTGTGACAAGGGGTGTTTGGTAATACGTATGTTCAAATGTAGCCAAAGGAGATGAGAATCTTGAAGATCCTCTTCACAAGGACTTTATCTCAAAGAGCTTCAAAATCTGAAGTTCTACATAATAGAAAACTGTCAATTTAACCTAATTGTAACTATGCACTTTGCATTATGAAGCTGTAGCCTGAAGTGCTATGGAGGTTGTCTTCTCTTTGGAACCTGCCAAAATCTGATTCTTACTCCTCAGGTGGCCCCTTTCTAGAGTGAATTGAGTACTCTTATTTCTTGGAACCAGATCTGAGAATACCACAGCTGTAAATTTGAAGTATTGGAAATGGTGTTAGCCAGCTTGTCTTTTCTGGCGATTAAAGGTCCTGCCTTCTCTATTACGTGTAGTAGGAGCGAAAGTTATCAATTGAGTTTGCCTGGGACAGCATTGCTGCTGTGAGGTCAAATGGTTTGTCTGGTAAATCATTGCAGAAAACAGGTTGTAATCAGTAACAAGGAGCTCTTAGTGTAGGGCTCCTACACTGAGCACAGGAGGGCTTTACAGCACACACCAATATAAAAACATCCTCTGGGGGGTTAATATACGTAGTCTTGGTAATTTGTTATGTGCTTTTATTATAACAATACAAGCAATTATAAATGCATAGGGGAAACTTGTTAAATACTGAAATGACACAAAGGTCATGACAACCTTTTTGCTTATGTGTCTTTCATTTTTCTTAGTTCACGTTCAACAAAAAGGAGATATGTAAATCTGTTTGTACAAAAACATATGATACCACAAAGCCAGAAGATAAACAGAAATTAGACTTCTTGAAAAAAAGTATGCTGCTGAATTATCAACATCACTGGTAAGTTGGTATCAAAATTCACAGATGAGTTAGTCTAGAATGTCAGTGATAATTTAATTTAGTTTATCATTTTGTATTTGCAACTTAATACAGATTGAACACTAGGTATTGGCACTTCTGCAAATACCCCTTCTGTTCTTGCAAAAGATGTTACACTGTTGTTGTTGTCATAAAAAATTTCCTTCCCTGAAGGATAAGCACCGGGTGTAATGGAAACAAGTGTGTTTCCAAACACAAAGCTTTGTGTGGTTTTTGTGCTGCCCCTGTGCTTACTGTAGAACACTGCTATTTCTTTGCACCTGTAAATGTACGCGTCAGTCCTGCCCTATCTTGAGAAAAGGCTTAAGGGACTTTCATTCTATTGCTGTGTTGTCTTTGTTTTTCTCCAGAGCCTTTACACTCCCCTTCAGATGTGTCTAAGAGATAGGATCAATGGTTTTAAAAGAGTTTTATGGAAAGTTTGTTTCTCTTACGGGATCTGGAATTGAAAGGTGGCCAGTGAAAATTAATTAATGAAATAATTCTGAGGAACACATGAGCATGTGGTCGTTTTCTGTTCTCTGAGTCCCTCTGTAACTGTCTGAGTCATCTTGAAGCAGACTGGGGCTCTGTTTCTGCTTGGACATTGAGGCCCTCTTCTGTTGGGCAGTAAGAGTGGGGCAAGGCCAAATGTCTAGGCTGAATCCTGTGCTGATGTTCAGTTAGGATGTATCCGTGCTCTGCTCCCACATTCAAGAGCTGGGAAATGTCTGTCAGCAGGCTCCATCTCGACACTGGAAATACTGAGCCATGCTCTCAGTGCTTATATAGTGCTTGTTTGTACACTGTGCTAACAGCAGCCTTTCGGTGCAAAGGTAGAAGGAACAACTTGGACATGCAGTTGTCAGAGTTCCTGTAGCATGTCTTTGCAAGTAACGCCTGAGCAAAATTAACCAGTGTGGCCCTTATGATTCCAAATATGTGCTCCCTACTTCACAGAAAGAAACATTTTGATCTTCATCTAATGATATTAAAAAATCCTGGCTACATTAGTAAAAATTCAGATGAAATGTTGAACGTTGGCACTGTCATTAAATGCTTTTCTGTAATGCTGTATTACATTTCTTCAGTTTTGAAACAGTCACCCATGCTGGAAAGGCAATGAGTGTGTTTTCTATTGCTCTTTTTTGCTGATCAGAATATCCCTTTTCAGGGATAAACTGTGGCTCACTGATGTAAATATTCTGGGAACATCTCGAACATCAGTGTAGTTGGAAGTTGATAGATGAGGTCAGAAGAGTTCACAGGCAGTAGCCATATGTGCATGTAGGTGAACAAGGAAGTAGTAAAGAAATCCTGAAAGGTACAGCTACTTTTGCAGGGATTTGAAGTGTATATGATAATACTGAAATAAGTAGAGCTTCAAACATGCTGGATTTGGTTGTATTCATATTAAATACTGCATATATTTGTAATATTTACACCACTTTGAATTTACATGGTGCATGTTGGTCTGGTGTAAAGCTTCAGCTTTAAAAGTTTGTGTGTGTTTTGGTATATAAATGAAAACTAGTTTTCCAAGGTTATGATCCTGTCCCTCTCTGAAATACAAAAACTTAATCTGACAGAAACTGAAGCAGAACTGTGGAAAACTAATCACAGAAAAAAAGTACTTTAGACTGTGGTTTTCCCCTTAGATTAAATTCTTTTACAAATATACTTATTTTTTAGCCTGTACAGGTAGCTTGATAGGACTGATGAGATGTTAGTAAGATACACTTCTGTTTTTCAGTGTGAAAACTACCTTTTAAATGTAGGGTACTTCTTATATTCTTAGTTCTTTTAATAGCACTTCTATTTGTGTATATATATTTTTTTTTTTATTTTATTTTTTTTA